TGATACTTGAAGTATTGGTATGGGACAAAATGTCAAAGTCATCTATCCATTTGGATTTTCAAACCCCATACCTTGAAAGATTGAGGTATGAGTTTAAAATTTATACTTCATATTAATCATCAACCAAACACATGGTATGGGTTTAAACCATTTGAAACCTCTACCTTATTCATATATTTCATGAACCAAATGCTCCCTAAATAGATATATATTCGTAACTTTTATATATGTTAGTATAACTTTTTATCATTTAAGGATAAAGTTCGTAAAAATATACAATTTGGACGGTTGTAAACTCAATTTTTACGTTCTATGACAAGATTATGGGACTAAGAAAGTAAATTTTTATTAACTTGATTAAAACAAAATTACACATGAAAGATATTGCATGAGATATATGAATGGGCATAAAATCATTTTGATCTAAAAGGTAAAATTTATCAATAAAGAGCATAAACCTTATTCATATCTTTGTTTCTATCTATTTTTTTAAACATTGAATTGCAGATAATGGGTACACATTAAGTTATGTCTTTCACTATTGTGCATCAAGCAAACTATAACTTAAATCTTGTGAGATTTATATTTGAACTTTTAAAGCCATGCAATTACGGGTTCTATTCTAGTATTCACATAAATCGATGTCAAAGTTTCTCTTTTTATCCGATAAATATTCAAGCATGATATTCACATAAAGATAAAGCTTTGATTATTTTTTTGTTTCCCTCCATGGTTTCTCCATTGGGAGAAATTCAAGTCTACATTGCTAGATTTTTTTCTACAAGGTTTTTCTTCTTTCTTCTCCCTTAGTCTTAGTTGTGAATTTCTATAGGGGCTTGCACTGGTGTTCTAATCAATAATAAGCCCTAAAAACCTTTTTTTAGTTTCATTATAGAAATAAATCTCATCCTTGAGATAATGCTTATTATATTTTGTTTAATTTCTTTGTTTGTTCGTCTAGTGAGGATTGAATATCTAGAGTTTCATAATCTCCGTAAGTATCTAGATGACAACATGAGTATTTTCACCTAAATGACTATGCATCATTGGATTTCAAGCCAAGTTAGTACTAACTCACATATTGTATTCCTTCAGATGAAGTTTTTGTGAAAAGCGATTGTTAATCAAATCTTTTTTTTTTTGAATTGAAATTTAAATTTTTTAAGATTAATTGGAAGTGCCGTTTTTTTTTTTTATGAAATCCTTTTTCTTCCTGTCCAAAAAAAAAGAAAAAAAAAAAAAAATCATCTTTGACATCGATTTACATAAACCATCTAATAATGCTATCAAAAAAAAAACAACCCTTTTAACCAGAAAATAGTCAAAAGTGACTTGATAATTGTACGATAAAGCGATGATAAGTAATCATTCCAAGTTATCTTGTACCAATTATGAAGAGCACAACACGAAACTTAAACGAAAAAAATGATATGAATTGAAATCTCCAATATCAAAAGTGATCCGACCCGTAATCTAACTGAAATCGAAATGATTCAAATTAAGATTGACCTAAGTTGGAATTACTCAACTCAAAAATCAAAAGTGAAATGATTTGAACTGAGATTGAGCTAATAATCAAAATAACTCGACTCATATTTTAACCAAAACCGAAAAGATCTGAACTGAGATTGAACCGAATCTGAATGACATGATACAAATTCTATGGATGAACCATTTAAACTCAAATAAATTAGGTTAGATCTTGATCTGGGTTCACCTGAACTCGACATGGCTTGACCTATAGATGTCTTGACCCAAATTCAATTTATACCCGTCCATAATTAGACCCAACTTTGACCCAGTAAACGTGACCCGACTTGATTTGGTTTGTCAAGTTAGAATGACCATCATTACCCGATTCATATAGCCCTAACCCGTCGTGGGTCAACCTAAACTCCTGAGTACCTGCTTTGAATTCCAACTAATTAGCTGTTAGTTAAAAACATAAATAAGTTTTAATCCGATTATGTTTCACAAAATAAAAACCGAATTGAATTTGTTTATTGAGTAGATAAATTCTAAAATTTAAATTTAGGAAAAATTGACAAAAATAATCCCAACTTTTACGTATTCGCTTTTAATAATCCCAACTTTGGATTATTTTTAAATAATCCGAACTTTGAGGCGTATTCGCTTTTATTGGTCCCAACCAGTCACCTAACCTATTATAATAGGTTACCAAACACGTGTTAACACGTGATTGGTCCAAACAAAATAAAAATTAAATTTAAAAAAAAATTCAAACACTCAAACCCTCCTCCTAGCCCCTGCCACCACCCAAACCACTGACAGGTAGTAACCCATGCCACCTTTGACACCCCTCAAAACCCCCGAAACAACCACCCCACCCCACTCCCATCCCTTGAAATCGCCGCCCCTCAACCTACCACTTCGAAACCGCCCCCTCCCCTAGCCCACCACCGAAAACCCCACCACCTCCTTTTCCCCAGCCAACTCCACCTCGCACCACCGCACCGTCCATTCACAACACCATCAATTGCAGCCTCCTTCACATCCCACAAACTCTCAACCACCAATTCTCATGAAAACCACCTACTGCCCCTAACCATAACAGCAACAATCTACAGCCCCGCAACTCCTCCAACAACAGCTGACAACCCTTGCTGCCTAGCCATTCACGCATCCCCACAAACAACAACAAGCCACCAATTCAGCCCTGTAACACTGCAACAACATCAATTAATTCCACCAACAACCTCAATTCGACCTTCAAACATCCAAAATCAACCACCAATTCGCTGCCTAGTTAACAATTCGACAGCCAACAACGTCAATTTCCTTTTTCAGGAGGTGGGGGTGGGGAGGGGGTAGTTCTGGGGGTGGGGAACGGGGAGGGGCAGTTTCCGGGGCTGGTTGTGGGGAGGGTGGGGTTGTCGGATGGTGGGGTGCGCGGGAAGTGGCGGGGCTTGGTTTGAATTTTTTTTTTTATTTTCTTTTTTGTATTTATTTATTTATTTATTTATTTTTATTTTTGACCATTCACGTGTTAACACGTGTCTATTAAACCCCAGAAAAAAAGTTTACCTATTCAACAAGTTATCGGTCACTTGGGACCAATAAAAGCGAATACGCCCCAAAGTTCGGATTATTTAAAATAATTCAAAGTTGGGATTATTTAAAGCGAATACGTGAAAGTTGGGATTATTTTTGCCAATTTTTCCTTAAATTTACTAAATTTAAAAATAAAAAGAAAAAACATTACACATTTCTTTTTACAAAAAATATAGTACACATTTGTGACTCAAAATAATATTGAGGCTGCCAGGTTTATCTAGTGTGTTTATCTTATGTCATTATTGTAAATATTTTGCATTGAAAACTATGCTATGTAATAAAAAATAAATTTTCTTTTGTTTACGCCAGCTGTCCCAAACGGCTTGATTTTAACGTCGTTCACCCTAGATTATTTCCTTCTCTCTCTTCTCCTCCCCTCCCATGGCCACAACAACCACCTATATATTGCCACGTGCTTCGCGGCAATAAATCGGCCGGCCAAACAAAAGACACCCTAGTAGCAAAATATGTAAAGTAGGCCATATTAATCCTTTAGGGGAAGATATGACAAAGATGGCAGTGGTTAATTACCGCTATTATTGTGGTCGCTGTTGAAGATGAAGGGCAGTAGACTGCGGTGAGGTCGATTTGGTAGGAGGGTCGGGGTTGAATATGCCGTGGTGGGGTCGATCTGGTTGGAGCGGTGGGTCGTGCGGTGGGGTCGATCTAAAGGAAGAAGAAGACTGGGTTTGTAGAGGAAGGAGAAGGAAGTGTTTTTGGGGTTGAATATGGTGAATGGTGAAGAACACTAACGAACCAAAGTTCAAGATTTAAAAGAAAAGTACTCCTAACGGCACAAGTAACACTGTTAAAAGCAAAATAAGTAAAAAGCCAAAATTCTCCTTACTAAACCGCATGAAAAGACAGCGTTATCCCTAGATAAACGAAAAGAGTTATAAACTTGTATTTTCTCAACAATATTTAGTTTTAATATGGAGTGAAAAATCTTTGAATCAATAATAATAATAACGTAATACTAAAACAGACACCAGGAATGACATGTGTCACGTCCAAGTGCTATTTTTTCCCTCCAAAACTGTTTTTTTCCCCTCAACTACTTATTTTAAACTATTCTTTATCTATATATATTCATTAAATCATATGATTGTGATTCACTTTCCTAAAATAATATTTATTTGTGATTCACATATTTTTCATATCTTTTATTGTATAAATTATTATTTATATCTATATTATTCCATGTGTAATCAATATATTATATAAATTACACTGATTTTAAAATATATATTATTGACTTTAATTGATTCCACATAATTGATTATATTTCCAATATGATAAATATTTTTCATAGTTTACATAATTATGAATGTGTTATTATTGTTTATTTAATTTCAAAAATATTTGTACAAGTATATCTTTTTCACAAATTATCAATAACATAATATTAAAACAGACACCAGGAATGACACGTGTCACGTCCTGGTGCTATTTTTTCCCTCCAAAATTGTTTTTTTCACCTTCAACTACTTATTTTAAATTATTCTTTATATATATTCATTAAATCATATAATTGTGATTCACTTTCCTAAAATAATATTTATTTGTGATTCACATATTTTCCATATCTTTTATTGTATAAGTTATTTTTTATATCTATATTTTCCATGTGTAATCAAAATATTATATAAATTACATTGATTTTAAAATATATTTTATTGACTTTGATTTATTCCACATAATTGATTATATTTCCAATATGATAAATATTTTTCATAGTTTATATATTTATGAAAGTGTTATTATTGTTTATTTAATTTCAAAAATATTTGTACAAGTATATGTTTTTCATAACTTATTATTAATTGAATTATTTTTTTTTTTGTTACGAAATTAATAGTTTGGTTTATAAACCGGGCACTATAATAGTAATAAATAATTTACTCTTCAATCAATGCGTATGGATATCCATTGGGCTCGATCAACCACTCATCAACTCAGTTAAACAGTACACAGAAGAAGCGCGACTTTCATCCCAATTCACCATTACCAAACCTTCAAATTCCAATTTCCCTCTTTATAAACCCTAGAATTTCAATTCAATTTCAATTCATCCGTTTTCAAATTCGAATGCTACAGTACTTCATCCCTGTTATGTGACAGAATTCATTCATCATCTTCTACTGTAAATTCATGAAAATGGCGAATTCCTTTTGCCGGCAATATCGCGATCAATTATCTGATCGTTGCTTAAATTGGTTTCCATGTCTTTCTGATCCAGGTGCTTTTCTTCTTTCTCTCTCCTCTTTTCCTCCGCTTTTAATGGAATTTCTGAATGTTTTGACTTTGTTCTTCTTTTTTCAGGTCGAAGATCGTCAATATGTTTGAAGGTTGCTTTGGTTATGATTCATCTCATTTATCTGGGAGTTTTGTTGATTGCTGATACAGATAATGTCATCCAAACTGCTAAGAAAAACCCTTGGTAATTTTTTTTGCGAATTGGATTTATTTTCATTAATTTATTTTTATGGTTTGGTTTAATTTTGCTAGAATTTTGGTTAATTAGAAATGATCGGAGTAATTAAGATGTTTACTTGCTTAGCTCGGAGAGTACAACGCATTTAAGCTTTTGGGTGCTTTTTTCCGAATTTTGGGTTATTAGAATTGTATGATCATAGATTCATAGATGGTTCGATTTTGATTTTTATACTAAGTATATAGAATTTGGGATTTCAAGTGCAATTGTATTTGGTTCATTGGATGCTAAACCTACAAAGGGTCAAGGATTAGAGGTCAATGCTTTATCAAGTATAGGGCTTGGAGATAGTAATAAAATCTAAAGTTTGTTTTCGAGGGAGGCGCAAAAGGGTAGGGGGGAGGGGACTGTATCACAGAGGACTTGAATTGTATTGTTGAAGCTATCATTGGTTCACACATATAAAGCGAACTTTAATCTATTCATGATTTTATATATATATATATATATATATATATATATATATATATATATATATATATATATATATATATATATATATATATATATTAATTTCTTAAAATTATTTTATTGTAAACTTGGCTAAGGGTCTTTACCTTATTTAAGGTGTTTTGGTCCGAATCTTTTGGTAAGGAGATAAGAAAGGATTGATACATGTGCTTTTTTCTTTTTTTCTTTTGTGTCCCTGCCATGTGATTGAATTGCTCGCCTTGTACTACTATATCATATCCAATTTGCTGGGAACCATTGATTTGTGATACTTGCATTCATCTGTTATTGTTGAACATATATGGATTGTTAATATCCTTTGTGCATGGTTTCTTGTGGTACTTTTTTCCAGGTACATTGGACTATATCTTTTGCTTTTTGTAGCAACCTTGATACAGTATTTTGTCACTTCTGGTTCTTCTCCAGGGTAACTTACTAAATCCAATTTCTCTATTGTCTTTATAATACGTCAAATTGAGGAATCTAAATTATTTTTTCTAAACCTGTTTGTCAAGTTATGTGATTGATGCAATGAGGGCTGCTAATGAAGGGTACTCCTCTAGGGTACCCCATATAAACTCAAAGTAAGTGCCAAACCAATTTCAAGTCACCTGCTTAATGACTTTCTCTTATACTATTGTCCCGTTGTAATTGTAATTGTCCTGGTTTTGTTTTCGTGCTTAAATTTAACATAAGCAACTAAGTGAGTAGAGGTACATAAAAGATGTGTTAGTGAGACATACAATTTTGGGACCTAAATAGAGAGTCAAATTTGAAATTATTTTTAATTTGACATAAAGTGATTTCTGACTTGTATTCTATTTGTTATTTTATTTAAATATTACTCGTTTATGATGATCAAGCAAAGACAGCCTGCTACGAGTAATAATGGGAATGTAGTTATTCCTGTGGATGCCAATACTATGGGAAGAAGCTTCCTTGGAAGTAATGCACCACCTTGGACCCAGCTGGTGATGGAGATGTATCCTCCTGGAACCTCTACGAGGTATGCCTATATATATATATATTTTTTTTTTGTCTGTCCATTTCCTGTGATTTTATCTGTAGTTTCATGTACTGTGTTTGTGCTTATGGTCTTAAGTGGTAATTATTATTTAACATTATTGGACAGCTTAGTTGTGTGAATTGTAATACAAAAATACAGTACAATTTAATTGCATATTTCCATGTTGTCAGAAGTTATAGAGGGCTGTAATGCCCTCAATTAATTTTTTTTATCTATTTATTTTTGTTTCATGAAACTCCACCGCTATGTGGCATATCAAAATAATGGCAAACCTAATGGGACTCCTGAAAAATATTAATCTGCTAAGTTATGTATTTGCTGCATTTCTATAAGCTCTATATATGGAACTTAGTGTAATGCATTTTATGTTTGGAGATATTTGTTCTTATTCTGTGTTTATCCTTTTTCTTGGCAGACAGTTGACCTGCTCATATTGTAATGTTTTACAGGTAAATATTGTCTTGTTCTGCTAGTCTGTATATGTTACATAAGTTGATATCAGAAAATTTGAAATTCTTAGATGTTATTTTTTTGCCGCTTTTAATTTGGAATTGTTCTTGTCATTCGTATTAAGAAGAAAAGTAGTTAGCTGTCTCCTAAATAAGACTCTGGAAACTGACTTTTCAAAATTATGCTTAACACATGATTGATCTCAGCACAGCTTAAGTTGTAGTTTTGAATAATCGGAAGCTCCATTGTCTTAGTCAATGTTAACTAGCTTAGCTGGCGAGATCTGTAGGTGGTGGTACTTGCGGCCTGAGTTTCAGATTTGAATATTTTATATTGCCCAGTTCCATTTATACTTTAATAATTTTTCTGCTTGTATAAGAGTTTTACAGTTTTTGGGATAGGTGTGGAGCTGGGTGCCTACTTGTTGCTAATTGGCCAAGATCATTTAACAATCAAGAACCTCCAATCTGAAGTTGTAAATAAGTCTGGAAAAAGAATTCTATGCATAGGCTGGAAAAAGAGGGTTAGATATCAATTTAGTTAGCTCTACATTTATCGCTTTAGTGTAACTGCAGAGTCTGCAATGTGTTTTTTTTTTTTTTTTTTTTCTCCTACTTGTACAGCCAAATTTCTATTATTGGTATGGTTGACTCTTATTGCTGTGGAACATATATGCAGCCTCCTCGAGCAAAGCATTGTCATGATTGTGATAAGTGTGTTCTTCAGTTTGACCATCATTGTGTTTGGCTTGGAACATGCATTGGCCAGGGTAATCATTGTCGTTTTTGGTGAGTAAAAGGTCCATATTATGTATTAAATATTACTGTTGTCTGTATTACAGTTATCTGGGAATACCTGTTTTTATTTTATTTTTAATTTGATCTATGATCTGGATTTTGCTGCTTGCAAGAAAGAAACAAGGTAGGATGATTATTGTTGTCGAGGTTATTCCATTTAAAACACTCACATTGTAGTTAGTATAAGTGAATAAATTAAAGGGAATGGTATTAAGGTTGCAAGTGTTTTGAAATTCAAGGTTATGCATCCCCACTTATATTATGCACTCTCTCTGTCCCTGAATATTTTGCTCACTTATCATGGCACATAGGGTTAGGTGATAAGTTGGTGTTTGGTAAACTCATGTTATATTGATAAACAAGTAGATGTGATCTGAGCTAGTGGAGTATTTTATTTATGAATGTCAGAGGTTTTGAGACATTGATTCTAATTGGGAAGAGAAAGGTAATAATAAAAGAAGGTTGTCCATTGCAATCTTTAGTACTGTGCAAATTAATTCGGCAAAAAAGGAAAGTAAGGAAAACAATTTTGGGACGGAGTGAATATCTTTCATTAATTTAGTTGGAGATGAGTATGAGTAACACATGTTTGCTTGTGGAGATGCATTACCTATGTGGGATACTCATTTCAAATTACTCACAAAATCATGCCGTTCTGTCTTACATCTTACCTTATTCTGAAATCGCCACTAGGAACTTGTCTTGGCTTGTGGAAAACATCATATAAAATTTTTGCTCTCATAATCAGATGTTTATCACTCGTAGCTGGGATCATTCTACCATGTCTTTGTTATCTAATCCCTTTTTACTGTAATTAAATGGTGTCAACTTGTTGATGTGCATGACATCAGTCCTCATCCGTTATATACTGTTTGGTAGTTTTGAGGTGATTGGATGTATAAATGTTGTCAAACTGTGAAAGGGCAGCTTGTAATTTACTTCTCTCACAAGGGAAAGCATATGCATTTTCTTTATTAGAAAAAAAAAAAAAAAAAAAAAATTTGTTTCAGTTTTTATTCTTTTTCTTATCCCACATTGTCCGTCAATTTTCTATAACACTATACTTGCTGTACTGAGAAATTTTTGCTAGATTTCTAAATTTAATTGATTAAAGGTTACGGGTGAACAAACAACATGAATGTTGTTTCCTTTACTTCAACATTTGCCAATGTTGAGAAGTGTTGTGACATAATGCACTTTACTTTTCCATATTCTTTATGTGGGACTTTCTACTAAGTTCTCGACCTTATGTTTGTTTCTATTGTAGGTGGTACATTTGTGAAGAGACAGCATTATGCCTTTGGACTGGCATTTTGTACGCTTCGTATCTCAAGGCTAACATATCTAGATCTTGGTATCAACTTTTTTCTTTACTACCTTTGAATATTGTTGCTGAAATTAAATACTCGCTCTGCCGCAGAACACTTTCTATTTTAATTTGTCCCACACTCCCTCAACTGTTTGAATATATCCTTTATGATATGATCCTACCAATTATCTATTATTTTCACCTTTGTTTCGGACCCACTATATCCTCTTTTACATCTGCTTTTACATTAAAAAATAGTGTAAAAGTATGTGAATAGTGTAAAAGTCGAATTGTTGCAATTTAAGGGATACATATGAAGTTTAATTATGTGTTTTAGTTCATTTTTCTCTATATGATCTTATCAATCTTTTGTCAGGTGGATGGATGCAATCATGATAGTATTGCTCATCACTTTGTCAATATCTTTGATCTTTCTGGTGCTTTTGCTTTTATTTCACAGGTAACTGGCATATCATCCTTATTTTTGTGTTTTTACTCTATACTGATTCTTGATACTTTCAATGTGTTTCGTTCGACATGCTCTTTTTTGATACTTCTACTTAAATATATTTTCTACTAATCCTGGTTCCGTCCGTGTGCAGCATGCTATTGTAATGCTTTGTGCAAATAGACCATTTTGAATTAGGTTTTTGAAGGAAAACAGGCCGGAATAGAGGAGGGGGTGGTGATATTTACTGGTTTTGCGTTTTGGGGGTGGTGTTTTTTAATTTCGTAAAAAATGGGTGGTAATTCGACAAGTGGTGTATTTGGGGGTGGTTTTTTTTTTTTACAAATTTTCCTAACCTAAGTCATTGAGGAAAGACTTGTCGTTATTATGTGTATTTATATTTGATCTTATTTTTCCATCATGGGCTTATAGCCGTATGGTCTATCCAATATTTCCAATCTGAAATTTAAGAAGGCTTTCAGTTTTCTAGGCTCTTAGATGAATGAGTTGGCCAGAAGAGCTCTTTCTTCTGAGGCAAACAAGGATAAAAGACATTAGGCTTGGTATATCAATGATTATGTCACTTTGTTGCGTGTCTATTACTCTTATCTAATACTTGTCTTTAATACTTGTGTTTTGGAATATATGGAGCATGTGTATTATAGATGTCTCATAAGATGTACTGTGTTGGAATGGCTGTATCAAATTTTTATTTCTTGTAAGAGGGAATTTTAGTTTCTGATATTGCATTATGATGACATCTTTCTGCAGTTACCTTGCTTTAACAAATCAAACTACATATGAGCTTGTAAGACGTAGACGAATCCCATACATGCGGTCAGTACACTTTTCCTTTAAAGTGTATTTTCATTTAATTGAATGATTATTTACGTTGTCAAAGCTCTATTTGGTTCTAACTTATTCAGTCTAAATAAATTATATTATTTGAATTCATCAGAGCTTAATCTGTTTGACTTGAGACAACAAGAAATAAAATAAGTCGAAACTAACATACCCTAAAGGCTACTATGATATTTGTGTGGGAAAACGAATAATTTGTATGTTTACTATTTACATTTACTACTATACTATTTTTTTTTTGTCATTTATTATCCTCTTTGCTCCTTTGTGCTTTTTAGCATGATGAGTTGTTGCTGTGATCTTGTGATATTCCCTTCTCCCCAATGGCTAATAAATTTATGGAAGAAGTAAGGAGAAATTCACGACGTAACCTTTTATTTCTTATTACATTTTTTTTTATCCCCCTTGTCCTGTTTTTCCATGTTAGCTGACCTTGTTGTACGAAAGCTGACTAATTATGTCACGAGAAAAAGGCATACTCCCTTTATCCCAGAAGCTCTCTTTACATAAAATTTTTGGTATGCTATGAATTTACATATATTTGAACTGAATTTAGAAATTAAATAAGAATTAAGGAAGAAGATGAAGATAATCATTTATAATACTTCCTCCGTTTTTTTTTAGAAAAATAAGAGGGACTCATGTGGGTAGGAGAGAGATAGAGAGAAAGAAATGTCAAAAATGGAAAGTGTTGCAAGTAATTAACAATTTTCAAAATAGGAAAGTGTTGCAACTAAAAAGAAACGGAGGAGGTATAAAAGAAACACTAAAAACACAGGATAAGTTCTTCTAGAGGCTTGCTCCCTCCCAAGATGTACACTAAACTATTGTAATTACTCACTAATGTTTAGCATAATAACCTCTCCCTAATCTATTCTTATATATTGCATTACTCCTCTAATTAACTCACTTATCTTCCTCCTCAAGATACAACTAACATAAGTATATTGCACTACCATTTTTGCCCCTCCCAAAATACCACTTCATAGCAAGGTGATAAATAGTCCTTTGATTGTTAATTTATCATTTTGCTGATAGAGTGGGTTTGCTAGGTGTTGGTGGAATTAAACTTTTTATCATTTCTGTACGAGGACGTGGAGGTCAAGCTTGGTTGTGGGAAAAGAGAAGTGTTGAAATGTGAAAGGGGTCATTCTTGAATAGAGCCTTAAATGAAAACGAAAGCACTCCCTCTGTTTTTTTTAAGTGCCCCATTGGGGTGTGTGCGGAGTTTTAGGCAAAAGAGTAAAATAATATATAAGTGAGTATGGTTAGGAATAGAAAATTTGGAAAGTAAGAGAGAAATATAAAATGGGGGACCACTAGGTACAATGTGTGAGAGAGAGAGAGAGATATATTATAAAATGATTGTGGGGTCTAAAGGAAGAGAGAAAAATACTTCTTTCGTTTCTTTTTAGTTGACACGTTTCTTTAGTCGCGTTTGCCAATGCACAACTTTAACCATTAATATCTCTAATTACCGATAAACAAATTATGAAAAGTTGATATTTTAAAAATATATATTGTGACAAATCTAACAAGATCCCACATGACTATATTTTTCATTACGTATGAAGCACAAAACACGGTTAAAGGGGAGTGTGTGAATAGTGCTAAACTCAAAACGTGTCAACTAAAAAAAACGGAGGTAGTAATGTATAATGTGAGTGGAGTTTCTAAATTTGGTAATGGGGTACTTTAAAAAAAACGACCGTTTTTGGGAAGTGGGGCACTTTAAAAAAAACGGAGGGAGTATGAATCAAATTATGAGATAAGGGCATGGGGCCATGGGGGGAGTATAAAGGAGGATGATATGTCAATATTATACCACGAGGCCTCTTGTAGCAAGTTAACAAACTTTATGAGGCTGTCAATTTAAGCTGTTTTCCAATTGTTGATTTTGAGCTACTAAAAACTATTTTTAGCACCTTCTAACAATTGCTAAAATATGATTAGTGCTGCTAGCATCATGTTTAGTTGCTTCTCGACCTTTAAGGGTTGAGAGCAAAGAAAGAAAAAGTAAAATTCTCAATGTTAGCTTCTTGTTTTTGCTACCCTAATTACCCCGGCCTGGTTTTGAAATTCATAAATTAACCCTAAAAGCAAATTTAATCTCACCTATGGCGTTAGTTTTTAACCACGAGGAATTGAGTTAATTAATCATTAAAAGGTTAACCATGGTTAACATAACTAAGTAAATTCCTCAAATGCCCTTGCTTCCCTTTCCCTCTCACTCTCGCTATTATTCTGTGTTACTAATTGCTGTCATGAACAACCATGCTGGCTTCCGTACTAAACCACACTTAATCGCTTGGGAGCACCGCAGGCTACCCCCTTCCTTTTCCTTTCTCATTATCTCCTTTCTTCCGCCCTTTGTGGCTGCAAGGGCTACTTTGCTCTAAATTGTCTTCTCAATCTCCTTTCTTCGTCCTATGCCACCCACTCCTTCCTAAAACCCCAACGTCTGTCTCCGTCGCCTACTCCATGACTATGTACACATCCCACCATGTAGTACCCACCACGATGGTGCACCCCTTGCCCGTAGCCAACTAAAAAACCAAGCAAAGTTTGTGCAACCACAACTTGCTGGAAAATTGTGCCTTTAAACCCTGTTTTTTTCGGATGGAACGCTACAAAAGTGGGTGAGGGAACCTGTAGTTATACTAGTGCGGAATTTAAACAAACGCTATTAGGAACACGAAGCGCAGGAGAGATTTTTATGAGGAGTCTTTTTGGGGGGATTCAACTAACACTCTTCTCAACAATAGAGCAGCAACATGGTTACAAACCTATTAGAAACTAGGCCCAACTTGATTACTTCTAAGAACTCAAGTTCCCTATTGCAATTCTCTCTATTCTTACTACTCCGAATTTATTTCTCTTAGCCTTCACTCAAAGCATACACAACACAGGGGAACCACAACCCGATACAAGTATTAGCAGATATATTGCAGTATGCCATAGATTGCAGAGAAGCAGAAAGAACAACCTCCATTATTAGCAGATATATTGCAGTGACTTATTGATTAGTACCTTGCAGAACAGATAAGCTAATGACTTGATGCTTCCAACCTATCCACATCTATCCCTTAGAAGATGAGTAGTTTGTCTTGCAAAGCCAACTACCCCCAAACTTCTTTTTAATTTTTTCATAGTTACAACCGTTCCTTTTTTTTAGTATCAAAACAAATATTCACTGGGTCATTAAGACCCTTGCTACTCCAACTATATATTATCAAGATATTATCAAGTAAATGTGTCAAAAAACTTAACCATCCTCCATATTTCTTTCTTCTTCTATGTCAATACTCATAGGTCTTTTAATCTTCCATTATCTGCTTTGTAGATTAGTTATGACAGTATTCTGTGGAGTTTTGGTTTAAACACAGCTCTAACAGATACATCACAATTAATTCCTACTTGCATACACTTATGAAAGAATGGAGGAGTTTCATAATATGCATTCCCGTCTTGATCTCCAACATTAAAGACTCAAGCTGAGGCTTTGTTACATCGATATCAACAAGAATTCTAGCAAATGAAATTCTTAATTGTCTAGAACTCTAGATGTACACTCGTAAGCGCAACTTAGCACCCTAACAATTTAACGGAAGGTTTAGCTAGCTTCAGCCATAGAGGAAATGCTTTGAAGGATTTCATACGAAATCAAAATTAGGAGTCCATGATTGATAGGTTTATCCCCCTTAAACCTTAACTACTTAAGTTGGTTATTAAGGTGTGTGCATACCCTATGTGCTCTATTTAATTTGGTGTATAGAGAGACACATAGGGAAAATGATATAGGCAGGATTTAATTTGTGTTACTTGGTGATATCACATTATTTTTAGATTTTAATGTGTTATATCTGGTGTGTTGAAAAACTTGTGCCAATATCAGTCATGCCACACTTTTATATATTTATTTTTTATTTGTTTTATTTTTTTTAATAATGCGACACTCATTAGAGAATATTTAAATGAATTACAGAGCGATTCCTGAAAGAGTATATCCTTTCAGCAACGGCATGTGCCAAAATTTTTACAACTTCTGCTGTGCTCAAATTAGCATATATAATCTGGAACGTTTGCCAACAGCTAGAGAACTTGAAGTCAAGAGCCAATCTCTTGCATGTTCTGATATTTTATGCTGCCGCTGTTGTTAACATTGTGCCTGTAGTGCTCAAGAATCATAGTATCAATTCGTTAGTTTGGCCACATTGTAAAGGTCCATGGACATATGTGGTTTTTGCCTGGCTTAGAAATTACAATCACCGTATGCCAGAAATGACATTGTGTGCCCTTTCTGGTTGTGTGCCCTTTCTGGTGTTTCCCGATATTTTGTTGGGATTGGAGTTGTTGCATTGCTCCTGTTTGGATCAGAATGGTGTCAACACTAGTAAAAGTAATGGGCAAATTTATTCCTGGTATTGATGAATCAGGTTAGTTGTGCAATCTCTCAGAGAAGTGACGAGCGCGCACTTTTCTATATTTCTCACTTAAAAGTGTGCTAAAAGCAATAATAGGTGTGCCAAAATCAACATCCTTTCTCATGGAAATTAGCGTGATCAGAAATATCCAAAATGATTCTCGACTTAATAAATAATAATAATAATAATAATTATTATTTTTATATTTTTTTTAACACAATTTAATTGGTAACCACTCTCTCCGTTTCGCATTAGTTGCAACAGTAGGCTTGGCTTATAGGCTTATAATATAAAGTATTCTTAGTAAGAGATATAAATAAAAAGAAAATTATAGACTAGGTTTATAGGCTTATAATATAAAGTATTCTTAGTAAGAGAGAAATAATAAAAAAAAAGTAGTGTGGGTGGAGTTGGTAGGAAAGAGAAATAATAAAATATTTATGAAAGTGGGGTTAGTGGGAGAGATAAATTATAAAATAATAGTAGGTCATTTCCTAACATAGAAGTGTTTCAATTAATATGAAATGGCCGAAAATGGAAAGTGTTGTAACTAATACGAAATGGAAGGAGTAGTTGTAATTAAAATCAATAATATGTCTTGAGTTATTGCATTATTTCTATCATAAAAATCTTTATTAAATGCCATGTAATATGGTAATAGCTTAGTGTCTAACACCTTATACTTTAAACTTAAGGTCGTGGGTTTAAATCTTATAAGAAACATATTTTTAAACTTGGAGTGAAAATCGGATTAAAATGAGGGAGTTGCCACATGGCTAAACATATAGCTTAAAAAATAAGCAGAGTGCCATGTGGTGCCTAAATTTATTTGGGAACGTCTTTTAATATATAGCATAGATTAGTTCTCATGTACGATATTTAATTTATGGAAAAAGATACTCTATCATGCTCACCTAATTTGTTAGTACAAGGTTGAATCCCAAGCCCTTATAGTTTTTTTGGTCCGGTATTTGCGAGCTAGATATTTGGAAGTAAGAGGATTGACACCTTCAAGTACCCTCACTTGGTAGGATTCGAACTTGACCCTAGAATCTAAGGAAAAAACTCTACCAAGTGTGTACCAACTTACAAGGTAGGATTTTTTGTACAATAATTTTTACAGAATAATTTCAACTACAGTTTCAATAATAACTACCTACAAATAAGTTAGTTTCTTATACATAGTCCTTACAATATAATGAGTTAAAATGGAAAAAACATGTAAAAATACAACATTAATTACATTGATATGTACGTGATATTGTCATGCATTCCTAAATTAATACCATTCTAAGCCATATAAGTTAAATATAGAAAAAGTTATAATTTTGCTGATCGTTGCACATGTCTGTAGATATTTAACATATAAGACAATCATTAGATCAGTTAATCAGATAACAAGTAACAGTGGTTAAACAAAAAAGTACTGTCATAAGTTAATACATGAAAAAATGAATAAAAAATTTTAGATGTTAAATAGCCGCAAAATAATTATTTTAAAATAATAAAAAAAAAAAAAAAAAAAAAAAACTCAATGAATAAATATGGGGGTTGTTAAATATCGCCCTCGTATATCTAACTAGCGGCCGCAAAATAATAAAATAATTACGTACTTATTCTTATAATAACGATTATTAAAATAATTAATTTTACCTCAACTTCACACTTTTACCGTACACAAATATTTTAACCATTCTCTCTAGTGGTCAAAGGCCACCAACGATCATTGGTCAACCACCAACCACCGTGATTTTCAAAATCAAACAAATTTTTTAAATTTTGCAAAATCAAATTCATTGGATCTTATGGACGACGACGAAAGACCGGAAACACAACCTACGCTGCTCGCCGAAGGCTTGTCGGACCATACGGACTCGGTGCGTGCTGATTAAATTTTCTTAAAATTTGAAACCCAGGCAAATGCCTAGGATTTTCGAAAACCCTAGGCTGAAACACCAAGTTTTTTCGAACATCCTAGAAAGTTTCGAAAAAACTAGGCACTTTAGCCTAAGGTTTTCGAAAATCCTATGCGTTTGCCTGGGTTTTGATTTTTTTTTTTTTATTGTTTTGGATTTCACGCATGCTTTAATTGTTATTGGATTTCATGCATTCGAAATTATTTTTCTTATTAGAATTATATTATAATATTGTTATTAGAATTATTATAGGGTTAAAAAGTTTTTGGTATTGTTGAAGATAATTAAATTGTTTATAATTAGTTGCGTTGTTAGAATTATTAGCTTTGTTTAGGGTAAAAATACCCTTGACATGTGGACCAATACCATTGCGACGCGTGTCCCTAAGCTCAGCTTTCAACGAGCCAATTAGAGCATGACATGTGTCACTCAATGATAGAAGGGGAAAAATGGGCTTCAAGCCCATAACCCTAGAAATCATAAAACGGTGGGAAGCCTATCTACTTAGGTTAAATACCTAAAAGGCACATGTCCCAATACACTATATATACTGATCATTTACATCAGTTGGGATACATTCACAATTGAATATACACGAGAGACCTTACTCAGAAATTGAGGCAGTCAATGATTGCCAGATAATACATTCTCCCCGTAGAGAAACTTGACCTCAGAATCCGAGAGGATACCACTTCACTTTCCGCACTTTTAATTTTTCGAACACGTTCTAACTTGATCGTCGGAGGTGGAACTCCACCTAACCGGAGTCTCCGTTGTTTAGTGGTACAGGCGCCCAGAATCCAGTCTTGGTGTTGTAACTCTCCCGAGGGACACAGAAAACCCCGAAACAATTATTATTATTATTGTGTTTGTTGGTTCTAAACTTTTATTAATATTTATATAGGATTCTAAGTCTGAGAATGGTGATGGTGCGGACTACAACGGGCATTTTTTGACAGACACTGTGTTTCCGAGTTTTGAGGATTCTGTTCTATGGGCACAAAATGTTTGTCGGTCGCTCTGATTTATGTTAGTGAAGGCTTCTTACAAGACCGATTGGAGTGGTCGGCCGTATTGACATGTGAGTCGTGATCGTGGAAAAAAGAGCATGATAAGAGACATGATGAACGCGATACGCAAAGACACGAAAAGAAAGGCAAACAGTTCTCCCTTAACTCAAGGTTGAGTATGTCAGAGTAGTAAGTGGTTGGAAGCTCAGTTGGTTGAACGACACTCACAATCATTCTTTGTTTGTGTATCCCGAAGGACATCGACAAATTAGCGGTCTTAGTCTTGCTGCTAAGCAGGTAGTGTGTGACATGACTCAGGCACAGGTGCCGCCTCGACATATCATGAGAACTCTTGTAGAAAAGTTTCCCGGAGACCATCCAAACATCAGGCATGTCTACAACTGCAGAAGTAACATCAGAATAGAGCAATTCGAGGGAAGAGAGGTGGTTCGCCAGGTGCTTCCAGAGTAAATACCTTACTTGGGTTATGACTGATATTAACATTGTGTTGCAACATGCTTTCATGGCACACCCGATCATGACAAATTTGCTACGCACATACCCGTACATGATAGGTATGGATTCCACTTACAAGACAAACCGATACGACATGCCATTCTTTGAGATTGTTTGGGTTACACCGACTAATAAAAACTTTCTGGTTGCATACGCATTCATGAGGCCGGAGTCCGGAGTCCGAAAAAGTTATCAGTGGATCTTCAGTGCTTGAGGTTGTTGATCGGTCATCATAGAGAGTCGTCGGTACTACTGACAGATAGGGAGCTTGGCCTTTGTACAGCGTTGAAGAGTGTGTTTCTAAACACATGACACATGTTGTGTGTGTGTGTGGCATATTAACAAAGATGTTGAGGCGAAGGTTACTTCCATGTTTGAAAAAAAGAAGGAGATTGGTGCCAAGTTCAAAAATGGGAGGTGGAGGCATGTGATTAATGCTACATCTGAAGAGGCGTATAAAAGAGAACTTGTAGAGTTGAAAACCAAGTGGGGTCGATGGTTGAAAGTGATTGACTATGTTGTGGACACTTGGCTCATACACAAGAAGAAGTTTGTGATGTTTTGGACGAACCAGGCACTGCACTTCGGCAATGTTAACAACCGCAGGGTTGAGAGCCAACATTCGGCATTGAAGTGTTGGATTGACAGTTCAACAGGTTTTTTAGACACAATTTGGGCTCAGGTGCACTACTCGATTGAGAACCATATCATAGCCATTCGTAATGGGTTAGAGGTATGTAGAACAACTCATGGTCAGAAGTACAAACAGAAGCTTGTGCATCAGCTGAACGGAAAGGTATCCCACTATTGTTTGTCTATTCTTCTCGGTGAGACGAACAGGATGCGAGGGTTGAGTACGTATGTCCATCGACGTTGTGGGTGTGCTCTACATACTACCCACGGGTTACCTTGTGCGTGCCAAATATATGACTTAATTGCTGCAGGGAAGGGGTTGTATACGAAGAACATTCATCCATATTGGAGGACCCTTGTCATTGGAACGGGTGTCGACATTCCTGATATAGTTGATGAAAATGATGAGGATCGAGCTCATTTCTGCCCAGATCTTTCGTACAACCATACGGTTGTTCGAACAAACTAGGCGTTTGAGCCTAGGATGTTCGAAGAAACAGGGCGTTTGCACCCGATTTCAAAAAATAATAAAAAATAAATAAATAAACCTTGTCTCCGGCGACCGCCTTTCCCTTGTCCTTCCTCGTCATTTTCGCGGCTGTGTAGATCGAGAAACCGAAGGTTAAAGGAGATGGTGGTTTAGAGAGAGAATTATTTTTAAGAGAGAGAAGAGGGAGTGAGGGTTTGGGGGGTAAATTATGTTTGAGGGTTGTAAATTTTTTTTTTTTTAATATAAGGGTAAATTTGTAAAATATATTTTATTTTGCGGACATTAGTTAGATACTCGAGGGCGACGTTTAGCTTTCGACTTAAATATTGGCACAGTAAAATATCTTACACATACTACTTTCTTTGGGTCCTTCCTCTACTACAGAGAGTACCACTCAAAATCTTATCAAGTCAAAAACTAATGAAAGAATTCTTAGGCAAGCCGAAATTAGTTATCCACAAAACCAGATATTCTTTAGACCAAAATCTAAACCCTCACTATTATTTTAGTTCGAAAATTACATTAATTTACATGTAAACAACAAAATGATAGCCAACCAGTGAG